TCTGGTTCCCTGAATGCCTTCCATCCCCCCACATGTGCACATAATCCTTGGGGTTTTAGTGCTCCCCCATGAATTATAATTTGGAAGAAGGGTCCAAACCATAGAACTCCGCCAAAATTCTAGCGGTACTTAAATTTAGACGAGAAGGCTGGTAGGCATACAAATATGAGAATGGGTCTGTTGTGGGTCAGGGTGCACAGTATACAGAAAAATCTAGGCGGCACCAATGGCATTGTGGGGAAGCTGCCTCAGTGTGCTTGGTTTACCCATGCACTCCTGGCAGGCAGCTCCTCACTTCCAAGGCAAATTGGGGCTTTCCTCTTTCCTAACTGATAGTTCTAAAAACTGATAGAGTGGATCTGAAGAGGAATCCTATCTGGTTTTTGATCATTTTGTGACCCAAGCAATGCTCAAGAGATATTCGTGAAAATAGTTGCCGAAAATCTTGACGACCCTCAACCTTCCACCCTTGGGTGTTGGTGTGTCTCTTCACGTTCATCTGTACCTTTATTGCAAGAGGAAAACTAATGTTGTTTGACATGGCCAGGCCTTGGGCATGGAGTAATGGGTGATGATTGTGATTTTGGACTTTGAATTTTATTGCTCTTGATGGACCATTCGAGTAATGCTAGTAATGAATCATATTCACCCGTGAAGCGTCAGTATTATTTTGCACGCATGTGTTTGGGTAGTTTGTACCATATGCAATTCCAAAATGGGACGGGGTCACTCCTGTAGTAGTACATCCCATGGCCTAAAAACCTGGAAATAGACAGTGGGAACAAAAGTGAGGTTGGGTGTGGCTACACTTGGTAGTATTGATAGACAGCAAGGGATCAGTAGGTGGGTGGTAAATGGTGGTGGTGGTTGACCCGGGTCACGCATGATGCACCAGCCCAGACTGAGACCCACACAGCTGACTCATTCAGATCCAGGACAAAGTGGAGGGGTCAGACCACCCTACACAACACCACAACTACAAACCACAAACCAGCTTATCATATCCATTATCCACCAGCAAAACTGAATCTGGGATTGCAGCAAAAATCCCACTTTTGTATCCCAATCCCCATCAGTTTGATGACACTGCAAATGAACTGGTATTCTTTGAAACTATTTTCAACAAGCACTTTGATGGGAAATATAGTCAAGGAAAAAGTAACAAGTACAGTGGACCACTGCCTTTCTGCATTTTAGTTAATATGTTTAATATGCTACCTACCCATCCTGTGGGCGGTAGTCAAAGATTACAAGGTACTTAATTGGTTCAGGGACTGGACTCCAAAGTTTTGATAGACTGAGCAAGTTACAGAGGTGGTAATGAACTTTCGGCGGCTGTGACTTTCGTGAAAAATCTGACTCTTCGCAATTTTTTCGGGCAAAATATTAGCCTCGTGGTTCGTGAATTGGCCTCTGTTGGTTCAGTGACTGTCTGGTATGTGTCCAATGTAAGCTGCATCCCAGCATTCGCACACACAACCCAAAGCAGTCCTCCACACCATTCACACTCGGTGTGCCATTGTTTATCAGTGGAGTGGCATCACCCCACATGGTTTTTACGCAATACATTTTCGTAATAATCGATTGTATTTGCTTCTTGCAACTGCTAAATTAAGCCACCACGGGCCAAAAGAAAGCTCCTAGTGCCAGGCCTTTTGGTTAAGAAGGAAAGAAAGAGATAGAATTTCAAGAAAAAAAACTCATAGCCAAGTACCAAAGTGGAAGACAGAGAGAGAGGGGAGAATGTTGCCTTCTTCAGTGTTTTAGTATATCTCATGATATGTTACAATACTAAAGCAGCAGGTTTCAAAAAATAAAGGTTATTGCACCACTCTGTAATAAAGTGTAGCTTAACGGTGTAGCAAGTAAGTTAGCATTTTAAGCGATAAGAAAAATTACATAAAAGTAACTCCAAGTTATTGGAGGGAGATATAGAGCCACTGGAACATATGCTGCCCTTTTATCTTCCACCACCATAAACCTCTGCCAGCATCTCCTCCATCAAACTAATTTTTAAACTACATCTCCTTCCAAGGTAAGTGTAAATATTTTCTGGATTTATAAATTACATACATTGTTTTAGTGTGGGTTTTTATGGTGTTGGTTGGGCTTCAGCTGCACCTCCATACCACTAATTGTATGTCTTCTCTCAGTGGCACTGATAAACCCAACACCACCACCACCACTTTACTCCTTACATATGTGACATATTTTATTCATATGTAGAGTAGTATGTATCACATTTATGTGTTATTAATATTCTTAATTAGATGAATTGTGATAGATAAATAAGCAGATAGAGATGATATTCTCATATTGAAGCATATAACTCGGCTCCCTCTCTCCCACTCTCCTACCTGTTCTTGCTATGCACCAACAAAGAGACTCCAAGAAAGGTAAGTGTGATGTTAAAAATGTTAATTTATCCATTTTATTAAGTGCTTTATCTCATTTGCCATTACTTTCTGTATGTAAAATCTATATTTAATCTTTAAAAAAAATATTTTTTGTTATTAATTTTTGGGTGTCTGAAATGGATTAATTGAATTTCCATTATTTCTTATGGGGAAAATGGTTTTGCCCAATTTTTGTGAATTTTGCCATTAGCAGACTCTCTGGAATGGATGAATCATGAAACTTGGGAGTCCACTGTATTTTTGAGTACACATGGCAAATACAATTATATCACCACAATCAAGGCTTCCACTGATGGAAAGAGACAACTGTAGTTGAAATGTATTTGTTTTTTGCAACAATAATGCTTATTCTATATTATAAGCATTAATATAAATCATATGAGTCTAACTGATTCGGGCTAATTTCTACCCCCGGCCTTCAGTTGGAAATTCATCCCACTGTCCGTTTTATGTTGCACTTCTCTGACACCCCAAAAACCAGGCCCTGACAAGAGGTAGGTTATGCAAGATTAGAAAATGTTTTTATGCATCTGAAAAAAATAATTTCACCATGTACTTTTTATCCATTCAAGATTCTTGTTAATTGATGAGTCTTAGATTTTGTTTCAAAGGCAGATTGCCATTTTCAAGCAGTTATAAGGATATTACCATGCAAGATGAAACGCTTTGGTATTAAATCTGTTTGTGCTGACTGTGAGAGTGGCCTGGTATGGGACATAATTGTATACATGTGGAAATAATAACATTGAAAAGATACCAGGATTTGTTTATTGGTATTCAGTGTCGTGTGGGGTTTTTGTTAGGGAGATACAGGGTTGAAGGTAAACCCTTGTTGGATGGTCACACTCCAATATATTGTCAGACTGTGGATTGAGAGGGGGGGAGGCCAGGACTGCAGTGTTCTTGCCTGTTAGTAGGTGGTCCGTCAAGTTTTGAGACTGAGGGTTACTGTCTCACGCCCTCAAGTCTGGTTACCTCGTGTGAATGTTCAATACCATAACCAGGATAAGGCGATTTCTTTTCTTATTATAACACATGGATGGTACTATGATACTCAGCTAATCTATATAACATATTTAAGGGGATCAGCAACTAATGCTGACATCCAGGTTGATGAGGTGGGAACAATGATGGACCATATATTGGTAAAAAAAACATTCATATATACTGATAACTGATCACAAGCCCCTTGTTCACTGATTTTTTGCAGGTTAACATGAAAAACGTGTTGTGGATAGTGCTTTTCTAATCTAAACATATGCCCAGGTTTCAACATAGGCAATTGGTAGTGGTGAGGTGCGGTGTTTGCTGCCAATGACATCATGGGCATTAGGTGGCATGAACAAACAGAGATTGACACATTGTGGCATCCATTCACCATAAAAAATTAAAGACAGTGGGCAAGATGGATAGGGTGACTTAATGAACGTATTTCCTAAAAACCAGCTCAGTGAACAAATGATTATGCACAAAACATGCATTTGGTTGACAAATGTGATAAATGACATGCTTTGTCAATTGTGTTCGTAAGAATTGCAAGGGTACTGGGAAACCTCTCTTCATTAATTGACATTTTCAATGCTCATATGCCATATAGTATGTACCAAATAAAGACTGGCAACAGGATCACCCATGTGGTGAATTTTGATTATCTGTTGTCCAGAAAGCTAATAATTCAAGTACCAGGTAAACAACCAACTGCTGTACAAAACTGTCCACACATTAATCAAGAATTACCCAAGTGTTTGAGGCGGGAATTTTGATCCACTTCCTTACAGCTTTCCTGCAAACTAAGAAGAAAATGGGCTCAGAATGAGATGTTGTTGTCTATGTGCAAAACAAAACGGACAGCAACAAGATGCCAAAGACACCTCGGTTTTACTTGCGAGGAATGTAAGATACCACTGTGCATGGTACCTTGTTTCAAATACTTCCAGAGACTGCATCCATTCTAGGAAACTTTTTTTTGTTTCATTATCTACAGAAAACATTCTTTAATTCTTTACCCGAAAAAATTTTTTCAAACTTCTTTACCCTGGTGCACACTTTGAGGACTTGGTCTCTGGACACTGAAAAGTGTTTAATTTGTTCCAGATGGCTGTTCAAGTTTTGCTGATTCTGTTTCTAGTACCAAAACAAAATTTTTCCTATAAGGAATAATGTAAATTTGGTTAATCCATTTCAGACCTCCTCAAAAAAAATGCACTTAGTGACTTTTTTTGTGGTTGTATTTTTGTTATCTGGTATTTATGGACTAGTATTCTCATTTATATGATCTCATTTGATAGAATGAAAAGTTATTTTACAGAAAAAGATATGATGTTTGAATGGTATACAGAATAAAAGTACAGGGTACTTTGACTTACAAGTTTAATTCATTCCATGACTGTGCTCGTAACCCAATTTTCTATTGCAGTGGAGCCTTGGGTAATGACATCATAAGGCTACGACATAATTGGGTACACTACATTTTTATGTCAAAATATTGGCTCGGCTAATGGACCAAAAAACTTGGCTAAAGACATTCTTCCAGAATGTGTCAGTGGCCCGCAAACTGCACAGGAACTCCATGGTAAACAGGGAGTTTGCCATTGTTTACAAGCTAGTGAAGATGATTCCACGCATAGGTGTGATATATTTTGTATTATTCCATTGTTTTTAGTGCTTGTAACTGCTTAATAAGCCACCATAGGCCCAAAGAAGGCTTCTAGTGCCAGCTCTCTGGAAATGAGGGTGAGAAACACTATAGAATTCACGAAAAAGTTTGTAGAAAGATACAAAAGTGGTGGTGGTAGAGGGTGCTTCCAGGGTACTTCCCCACAAACCAGCCAGGGTACTTCCCCACAGATACCACAGCCAGGGTACTTCTCCACATACCAGCCAGGGTACTTCCCCACAAACCAGCCAAGGTACTTCCCCACATACCAGCCAGGGTACTTCCCCACAAACCAGCCAGGATATTTCCCCACATACCAGCCAGTGTACTTCCCCACAAACCAGCCTGGGTGTGAGGGAAAAGTAGGCGTAAGTGGGGTTAAGGTTGTTCAGGCAACCAGGAACCATTAGCGAGTTACGTCGCGCACCCCCTCCCCCTCTGGTGGGCTGGGGCGAAACTAGTTCTTGGTGTCTGATTTGTTCAAATTTCTACTCCTGGTAATATTGACCTTACCTGGTGTGGGGTGAAGTTTGGAGAGTCACTTCACCTCCACTCTTCCCCTAATCAGGTAGGGTGATCTACCAGGAGTATTACTGTTTGTTCCTTTCTTTTGTTTGCTGGTTACCAGTAATGATTTTGGCATTTATCATTCTTTTCCATTCTTAAATGTTATATTATCATGACCATTGGTAACCAGTTATTTTTTCTTATTACCAGCTCTGTTCCTGGCGTGGTCATCCAGGATAGATGCCAGATAAAGGAGCAAGACATTTGTTAATGAGACTTATTAACATTATTGGACTACTACTGGCCCTTACCTGTTCTACTTGTGGTGCTCCATCCAAGTGGTAGGAGATTCCAAAACATCGGACTATCACCATCCGCCCAGGATAACCTACATCAATAATATCAGAAGATCTATCCAAGGTCTTACCTACTCCTGCCCAACTACAAGAACCGAAGGCCATTTTTTTTATTATATTTAAATTTTAAGTAAAATCCTCAAAAATCATTATTCTTATTTTTCCTAGTCGTTTCTTTATTTATTTATTTTTCCATTAGTTTCTTTTGTTCAGATGGAAGGCGTTCCACTGACAATGGCGACCTTGCCAGGATACGACTCGAAGTAACATCGTCCTGATGGTTCAACTGGTTGTGAGTATAACATTTAAGATAGAAAAGTGTGAGTTTGAGTGTCAAGTCATTACTGGTAGTCTGGTTGACTTACCGTTGTTTGGTTCTAAGGTTCGGTTTAGAAGTTTACCTATTTGTTGGACCTGGGGAACTTTGATGATAACCCCCTTTCTGTGTGAACCGTGTGTATTTTGCTAGTGAAGGCTATTGGGCCCACAAGTGTATTCTTCCAGGAGAAATATTTATTTCATTTTCTACTTTGGAAGTTTAAAGTGTGCGGACTGTGTCCCTCTTTTGTAACAGACGTTCCTGTTAGTTTTAATTAAGACAGTTGAAGTTGGGTGCGTAATATTTCTTTATACAAGATGGATTCTTTAGATTTCTGGTTGAAAGCTGGAAAGGAAATGAGATTTACTGGACAAAGCTTGATAAATACATTACTGCTAAAATGGCTATTGTAAAGAAAGAGAAACAGGAAAGACTAGCTCGGGAAGAAAAAAGACTAGCTCGAGAAGAGAAAAAGGAACAGGAAAGACTAGCTCGGGAAGAAAAAAGACTAGCTCGAGAAGAGAAAAAGGAACAGGAAAGACTAGCTCGGGAGGATAAACTCGAACAGGAAAGGATAGATAGAGAAGATAGAGTTCAGGCAAGAGAGGTAGCCGTCAAAATGAAGGAAATTGAAGAACTGGCTAAACAATCAAGGTTGGAATTAGAAGCCAAGAAAATAGAACTATCTAAGCAGAAAATAGATGAAGGGGTTCTAGAATACCCTTCCCATGAACCTAATATTAGGATGCCACAAATACCACCTCTCTCAGAACAAGATGACATAGCGGCATATATTACTCGATTCGAGAGTACGTACTGCCACTCTCTGTGACTGGCCATCAGATTCTTGGGCTACTAGGCTTGGGTTACTACTGTCAGGTTCAGCATTAAATGTCTATTCCACTCTACCCTCTGATGTTATTTCTAGTTATAGCCTGCTGAAGAAAGCTATACTTCAGGCTTTCAAAAAAACTACTCATCATTACAGGTCGGAGTTTAGACACATTAAAATAACTCCTAATCAAAATTATATGCAATTCTTGACAACACTTTTCAGATTATTTGATTCGTGGATTGATAGTGCTGAGGTTGACCACGATTTCGAATCTTTACGAGACCTGATGGTAAGAGATCAATTCCTTTCTTCTGTAAACTCTGACTTACGAATATTCATTAAAGAAAGAAACATTCATACGGCTGCGGAAATGGCACAAGCTGCTGATATATATGCGTGCGCTCATAATAACTACCCTAAAGAGCGTAGCAGATATAAGCCTGTTGTGCCTAAGCAATCTGAGGGATCCGAACCCTCCATACCAAGGAATTCCACGGCCTTCACAGGTAAAATGTTTCAACTGTAATAATGGGGTCATAGAAGGCCCGACTGTCCTAAGAAAAAAGGTGAAAATATCAGTAAATGTTTCGCCGAATCTAATATAAACGCACCTTTTAGTGAAGGTACAGTCAATGGCATGAATGTGTTTAACCATTCTTAGAGACACTGGATGTTCCTGTATTGTTATCTCAAGTAAGCTTTTCCCTAACCTAGATTCTTCACGTTATAAGTCCACTAAATTAACTGACTATTTAGGAAGAAGCGATTCTTTTCCAACAGTCGATGTTTCGTTAGGTGCAAATGGTTCTCAGGATGGGTAGATGCCGTAGTTGCCCCATAACCTCGTGTTCTGTTTTGGTTGGGAACATACAAGGGGCTACTTTCCATCTGAAAAGGACTGTTTGGAATTTGGAGTTTCCAAGGAAGGGTTGGAACCTAATATCTCTGTTTTCTTCAGATAGTTCCAGATGAGATTCAGTTGGATAACTTAAATCAGAGAGCTGATGGTTACAAAACTCCGGTAACACCTTTAGTAAGTCAGTCACTTAAACTGGACAACACAAACACCAGTGGAAAACTGTTGGCACAATCTTTTCAACAACTAGACACAATTAACGTCCTTACCAGAGCTCACTCTAAGGTAAAACCTATCCACCCTTTAGTTCTTTCCAAAGGGAAGCCAATTGAGCTGTCTCACTAGATTTAGAGGGTCTTCAAAAGACTTGTCCTTCCTTAGAGGAATCTCGGAAGCTAGCTTTAAATGGCAAGGTGATACAGAGAAAGAAATTTTCTTACAAGTTTGAGTTCAAACACGATCTTTTGTACAAGACTATAGTGTCTGCGGACAAACCCAATGATGTTGGTCGAAGCCTGTTAGCCATTCCGCAGGATTGCCGGGAAACCATTTTAAAGATTTCTCATGACTTACCAGTCTCTGGCCATTTTTTCACATAGGAAGACCTATAATAAAATCAAGGACCTATATTTCTGGCCTAGTATGTCCTCTGACATCTATAAGTACTGCAGATCATGTCACGTATGTCAACTTTCCACGCAAAAGGGTAGAACTAGGAGAGTTCCTATGGTAAAGATGCCAATTTTCTCAGTCCCTTTTGCAAGGGTTGCAGTAGATATAGTTGGTCCTATCACACCTCGCTCATCAGGAGGTCATAAATATATTTTAACTATGATTGACTATGCGTCCAGCTTCCCAGAGGCGGTATCCTTAAAATCCATTACGTCCATAGAAGTCGCAGAAGCCTTATTTTCTATTTTTTCACGTGTAGGTATACCTCGTGAAATTCTGTCTGATAAAGGGGCACAATTCACTTCAGAATTAATGGAACACGTTTATCAACTTGTGGGTGTTAAAGCTCTTTTCACTACACCTTACCATCTGATGTGTAACGGAAGAGTAGAGCGACAACATGCCATCCTAAAGTCAATATTAAAAAAACTATGTATTCTTAAACCAACGGACTGGCATAGATTTCTACCATGTGCTCTTTTTGCAATGCGCGAGATTCCAAGTGATTCCCTTGGTTATTCCCCTTTTGAATTACTTTATGGGAGACAAGCTCGTGGACCACTATCTATTTTGAATGAACTTTGGTCCAAAGATATTAAACCTGAGGTTCAAAACAGCTATCAGTTTCTTTTAGATCTAAGGGAACGATTGGAAGAAACCGCCGCTTTGGTCGGTAAAAAACCTAGAGATGTCTATGGAAACGTACAAGACCTATTTTGACCATAAAAGCTCCAAGCGTACGTTTAATGTTGGTGATGAAGTTTTAGTTCTCCTACCTGACAAATCCAACAAATTGCTAATTACCTGGCGTGGACCGTATAGTGAAGGTCTATAATAAGGTAGATTATATCTTGGATGTCAAGGGTAAAGAGAGAATGTATCACGTCAATATTTTGAAACGGTACCATCGAAGAGAAGTTAATCTTTGTGTAAATTCCTTTGACGAAGATACTACTTTTTACAGCGTGGTTACAAGTGGTGATTCGTAAGAGTGTAGAGTTTGTATTATAGATGACGAATCTTTTACAGAATCGAAGGAACTACTGGATATCTTAACGCATGATCCCTCCCCAAAGAAGTCAAATGTCAACATTAACAACGACTTGTCAAATAAACAAAAGTCTCAAGTAAGTGCCTTTAGTAAACACATTTTCTGACGTATTCACAGAGGTACCAGGACTTACCACCACTATTGTACACAAGATTGAATTGTCGGATCATGAACCAGTAAGGCGGAAAATCTACCCTGTTCCCGTTCACTTACGGAAAACTTTTGATAATGAGGTTTACAAACTATTTAACTTAAACATCATAGACCTTCGAAATCAGCTTTCTGCTCACCAGTTGTTATGGTTAAGAAACCCGATAATTCTTACCGACTGGCACAAGATTTTCGTTATTTAAATTATTTTTTTTATACACTGGCCATTCCCACCAAGGCCGGGTGGCAAAAAAAAGAAAAACTTTCACCATCATTCACTCCAACGCTGTCTTGCCAGAAGGGTGCTTTACACTACAGTTTTTAAACTGCAACATTAACACCCCTCCT